TCAGCTACGCGAAGAGACAGTGTCTAACTTACAGTTCAATACGTAAAGTGACATGTTACAGTACTTTGAATCTTCATGCCAACATGTTGGACATGTTGAGGAATAAATGAGTTTCTTTAAGGTGCAGCATTGTTCTTGAGTAGTGTTTGGTGAATTTACTTTATATTTGTACTTTGTTGATGGTAGCCTACTCTAATCATAGGGAAGCAGAAGTGCTAAAAGTGTTTTAGGTTTATCACAACAGTGTGTAACTCGTGCAAACAGTGTATAGTAAATGTAAAAATGTGTGTTTCTTATGGTAAAAAAAGTGTGGTTTTTAAACATAAGTCTATAGTTTTTAAAAGAGTGTTTAATTATGCAAAGGATCTGTAGTGTTTTGCTAATTGGGTATGTGGTTGTGCTAATTGTGTGTACTGTTTTGAAAACACGGGCCCTGTTTTGAAAATCGTGCTTAAGCAATCCAAAAAAAACTGTAAAGTAAGATAAATGAAAACATTTGATTTTCTACCAATGAACCATGAGCACATTGCTTTGCATCTTATAAACACAACCAAGCCTTAAAAATACACTCTTTAAAGAAAATGTATTTAAAATTTTAATACTTTATAGAAATATTACATTTAAAGTACTAAGTTTAAAAAATATTTTTAGCTGATCTTTTTATTATTAAATTATTTATTGGAGTTGGGGTCATTGTATGTCACGATCTACTTTTTTTACAGTCTATGGTCGCAATCCCAAGGTTCATTCCGATCCCAAGGTCCAATGCGGTTTTCCACACGGTAAGTAAAAAGTAAACAAATAAAGACAATTTGTCATTTGGGGTTTGTTTAGAACAGTTACTCAACTGGTGGGTCGTGACACAAAAGTGGGTCGCGGAGTGTGTAGTAAAAAAAAAAAAATAATAATAATAATTATTTATTTACTTATTTTGCTTATATCAGACTTTTATTTTGAAATGCGTGTGCGACAACCGAACTTTTCCTAACCCTAACCACTGTTTACAGTATTTGAAGTTTTTAACTCTGTAATATTACTATAATTTGATACATTTTGTTTAATGACAGCAATAAAGTATTGTTTATTTGTAAGCCTTGGTGATTTTCTTATGATTTATCTATAATTCCTAAAATTATATTATAGTTCCTAAAAATTTGGGTCGCGGCTTAATGACTATGAACAAATGTGGGTCCCATGGCCAAACTAGTTAAGAACCCCTGGTTTAGAACTTTTAAAAAAGCAGGGTAGCTATCTTCTGATGCAGTAAATGACTGCAGACTTGATATAAATAAAGCATGTACTGTAAACTAGCGACGTTATCTAATTACATCCAAATTCATTTATTAAAAAATATATTTTCCCCACATATAGTCGTGTATAGCTCAAAACAATATAGTTATACATTTGAAGATGAGGAACAGTGTTACCAGAATGTTGTTTTCCACAATAGTAATTGTCCAAAATCTAAATAAATTATGCAATATGCAATAAATATTACCTCTAATAATACAATTGTATTCATAACTGCATCAATATTAAAGCAAATCAAATGTTTCTCAAAAGTTTAAAGACTGCATGTAACTGCAATTATTTTCCATGCCTTAAAAGAAACAAAAAAGGCAGACATAACAGACATAACATAACAACTCTGTATATATGTATGTATATATTCATTTTTAAATATTTCCCAAATGATGTTGATGAAAAAAATAAACGGGGGCTAATAATTGACTTCAACTGTGTGTGTGTGTGAGTGTGTGTGTGTGTGTGTGTGTGTGTGTATATATATATATATATATATATATATATATATATATATATATATATATATATAGTTGAAGTCAGAATTATTAGCCCCCCTTTTAATTATTTTTCTTTTTTTTTTTAATATTTCCCAAGTAATATTTTACAGTATGTCTTATAATTCATTCATTCATTGTCTTGGCAGCTTAGTCCCTTTATTATTCTGGGGTCGCCACAGCGAAATGAACCGCCAACTTATCCAGCAAGTTTTTACGCAGCGGATGCCCTTCCAGCTGCAACCCATCTCTGGGAAAGTATGTCTGATAATATTTTTCTATATATTTCTCTTATATATATTATAATATGTTATATATATATATATGTTATATAATTTTATAAAAGCAGTTTCTAATAAAAAAAAAATTAAATAAAAAAAGCCCCTTTAAAATATATATGTTTTCGATAATCTACAGAACAAACCATCGTTATACAATAACTTGCCTAATTACCCTAACCTGCCAAGTTAACCTAATTAACCTAGTTAAGCCTTTAAATGTCACTTTAATCTGGAATCAATCAAGGGTAGGTTTTTATTCCATGTATATTAAATATCTACAATGTTTAGGCATATATGATTGTATAACATAAAATTTACATGCATTTATTGTTCCACTACTATTGTATTAACGGAAAGAGGCGCATTAGTTTTACTATTACTATTGTTTATGAAAAACACAAAATATTGTGGATTAGCTGTTTAAAACAAGTTGTTCTGTGTATTGATTAGTGGACAACCTTTTTTTATTTTTCAGAGAGTATTTTGTTTTGATTGATTTGTATGACACCTTATAGACCATAAACTGATTCGACTGTCCACGTTGTAGTCCAGGAAATTTGACATCTGCTCATGTTGGAAATATTATAAATGTTAATTTTCTGTTGTTTTAATCAGGTACAGCTCATAAGAACTCGTAATAATCTAGGAAAAGTATGTGAAATAACAGTGTTTTTCTGTAAACATTTTAATGAAAATATCTGTAGATTTATTATTTTTTGCACTTTATTTCAACAAAGAAATTTTACCATAATTTTATGGTTTTTGTTTGGCAGCCGTAGCAGCCAGTCATTTGACATTTTTTTTATGATTTTTTTTTTTTTTGTACAGAGCAAGTAATTACATTTTATTACTTTAATTTTACGTAATTTTAAATGTACTTCATAAAAAACAGGAAAAAACACTGTAAATAATACGGCAATTTTTACATATATACATATATACACACACACACACATACATACATATATATATATATATATATATACACACACACACACACACACACACACACACACACACACACACATATATATATATATATATATATATATATATATATATATATATATATATATATATATATATATACACACACACACACACACACATATATATATATATATATATATATATATATATATATATATATATATACACATGTATATTCAGTCATCGAGCAGTAGTTGGGTTTAGGTATTGGGTAGGATTAGGCATGTAGAATAAGATCATGCTTTATAAATACTAATAACCAGCATCTATAATAATAATAATAATAATAAACAGCTAATAAGCCACAAGCTTTTTTGTCCCATGTACATTTAGCTTTAGATTCCTTAAAAGTCTGCAAAAGCAGCAAATATGTAAATGCTGTTTTCCCCTGTAGTACTGAACCACTATAATAACCAATAAACATAAAGAATTAATTTCTATTAAAGGCTACGCGGTGGCTCAGTGATTAGCACTGTTGACACAGCAACAACAGGTTGGAATTTTTGTGTGGAGTTTGCATGTTCTCCCCATCTTGATGTGGATTTATTCCCGGTTTCCCCCACAGTCCAAAGACGTGCTGTAGGTGAATTGAATCATCTACACTGACCTTAGTGTATGTGTGTGTGTGTGTGAATGAGAGCGTGTATGGGTGTTTCCCAGTACTGGGTTGTGGCTAGAAGGGCATCGGCTGCGTAAAACATATACTGGAATAGTTGGTGGTTCATTCCACTGCGGCGACCGCTGATAAATAAGTGACTAAGCCGAAGGAAAAATGAATGTATGATTTTCAAAGTCATAAGTAGGGCCAGACAGAATCTGCGGACAATTTTTTCAATTTATATAAATCTGCGGATTTATGCGGAATGATTTTGGGATTATCATATCTAAAACCTTTATATAATATGAAATAAAAACTAATAACGTTTTACCTTGTATTTAATGTTTACATTACACCCATTTACACAAGTAAATAAACAGAATCAATGATGGAATAAAAATCTGCGGAATTCTGCGAGGGGCAGATTCAACCTTCATAAGTCAACCTTACATTTCCAAAGGACCAATAAATGACAGCGTAACCAGAAAGAAAAGACTCAGCAGCAGGTCTCATTCATTTTAGTAGTAATGATTTAATTCAGTTAAGAAATCAGCACATTGAACATATTTACCTCAGTATATACAACGGTCTATTGCACATATTATGAAAAAGCCAAAAAAAAAAAAACACTATCACCACAGGCCTAACATGGGTAACAGCTTATGCACTTTCAGATATTTACATGTCCTTTATCTAGTATTATTATCATCATATAAGTTAGAGCCTCACTTTATAGGCCAGTTCACATTTACACAGCATAATCTGAGGTCTCGGATGTATTATTCACAGGAAAATACGAGGCGTTTTTCACACTGCATCACCCCTCTTCAAAAACTTGTTGCTAAGCAGGCATCAGAAAAAATTTGGTCACTCTCAAAGGAATAATTAGGCTTCGGGATGTTCGCTCTCTTCCACCGCTGGCTGAAAGAAGAAACACGTCACCGGCGCTCTAAAAACGTTCACTAAAACGGCTTTAAAAAGTCTAGATTGGCAATATTCACCTCAGAGACACAACACAGGACGCTCCTCATGTAAACCTGTATATACTGTAGCTTCAAGATCACTGCGCGCCGTCTGTTGGTGTCAGTGATTTATAAGTGCATGTTAAAAGTCCCGATGACGTTCAGCAGCAAATTTAAAATGTATAAAATCAAACAAGATCAAAAAGGAACACTTTAAGTCGTCTGAACGCAATGAGCCCGAGCAAAACGTTCACACAGAGTAGCAGTGTTAATGTGTGCTGTACAGTAGAATGCAACAGATCCAGTGGTTTCAGACAAGAAAAGAAAGGAAAATGGCTCCAGATAGCGGAAATGTATGAATACTTTGAAGTTAATGCTCGTCTTTGTCTCTTTGCCCTTTCTTCTCCCTCTCGTCCTGCAGAGCCGTGCCCAGTTTCTTAATGAGAACAGACAGGACTTTATCCAGAGGGTCCATCACTCCTCGTTGCAGCCACTTGGGGATTGTGGTTCTGGCGTGATGGAAACCCAGCTTCTGCAGAATGTAGTCCACTCCTACTGGATCGATCTTACGACCCGTCCACGAGATCAACCTGAAACAATCAACGCATCAAATGAGTTCACTACTGACTTTTAAGGGCTGGTCCAACACGATATCATATTTTAAACTTTAATTGATGTGTAATGTGGCTGTGTAAACAAAAACAACATCTCTGAATGTAAGACGCTCAATGTTTAATGCAAAGGGAGACATTGGCTTTAACAGAGTTAGCTTAGCAAAGCCAACAGCGAACAAAGTTTGGGGACTACAAAAAAATACAGTGAGATCACAAACGCTTCAGATTACGCGCAATCACCACAGGCATACACCTCGCGCAGCAAAAGGGGCATGACCAGAGGCGCTGTAATGTAGCAGAGAAAGCTAAAATGCCATCCAAATGCTGCTATTTCCACAGAGCTTACTGTGTTTCTGTATTTGGGCTTACAAAGGACACAACACAAAGAGAGAAGTGTTTACAGTTCAATTTCAAGTATGTTCCAGAGAACTATAAAACATATATAGCTAGTATTTGACAAAGAAGCTTCCAGAACCGCTCCCAGTTCAGTGTGGGATCCGGCTAAAAACTTGTGAGCCACCACCTGTAAATGTTTTTATTTCTAAAACTGATCTATGACATCCACAGGTACTAACGTTAACGGTATGTTGTAGCAAGGATGTAAACAATGGGAAATGCCAGGTGCGATTTTAGGATTTTTATTTTAGGGGAGCTCAGCTCCTCACATTTAAAATGTTTGTTTAATATGGTAGGGTTGTATACTAGTATTCCACTGTTTTACATAGACAGGTGCAGCCATTTGAGTTCTGAACAAGCCATAGACTCAACACCCCTGTTTACTGTAGTAAAAATCACTTTCCATTAGGGGTGTAACAATACACTCAGCTCACGATACGATGTGTATCACGATATAATGTTCACGATTCGATATGTATCACGATATTTGGAATAAAAATTGAAAATTAAACTGAAATGCAAATTTTACCAAGTAAACTATTTTTTATGTATTTCTTTTGTTTCAACTTGTTAAACTGAACCTTCTTTAAGAAAATAAATTAAACAGGCCTGTCTCTGGAAAATAAAACAATTTAAAAACATGACAGAAATGACAGAGACAAAATTAAGGAACAATTTAAGTAAAGGTGCAAAAAAAAGAAGCTTTCTATTCAATTGAATTTAACAGTAAGAGCTAAAGGCTTTGCTTGGTCACTTGCGTTTTTTGTGTGTGCAAAAAAAAAATCCACATTTCCAGGTATTTAGTTCATATTTAATTAAATTCATTTAGAAATATCTCTAATTACAATTGTGACTAGTCAAAACTCATTTAGAGATATCTGCAAATATTTTTCAATGAAAGTCAATGGAGGAATATGACTAGTCATAATATAATTGCAGATATCTCCAATCGGATTTCGTACTAGTACAATTGTAATTGCAGATATCTCTAACTGTCATTCTGACTAGTCGAATTATAATTATGACTAGTCAAAATATAATTAGCGATATCTCTAAATATATTTATGGATAGTCAGAACAAAGGTTTAAACGCTAAAACGGCTTGCCAATACGCACGCGTCTATCTTATTCTGCCCTCTGTAGTAACAGCTCATGGTCAGCTCACATCATGTGTGATTTTGCGGCCGCATAATAATAAATAAGTTTTTTTTTTAAATACTAGACAACACTTGATGTTTCCATCTCTGTCAGTGACAGTTTAAATGAGTACATTCTCTAAGTGCTTCTGTCTCTGTGTTTAATCCTTTCAGTGCAAGACTGTACAGTATAGTAAATGCCACACAAACTGTAAAGTGTTTAATATTGGTAGTTCATTTTAAAAATAAAAACAGCGAAATGTTCATTAAGACATTGCATTTTAGTGGAAACAGCTGTGCTGATGAGGTAAACTCCGAGAAAACCCCACTGCTCCTCCGTGACATTTGGATACAGGTGATACAAGGTTATCTATATCAAAGAACTGCAAATAAGCAGATATTATAACAAATTATCAATAAACACACACCTGGCTTTCTCGCTGTCCACGGCTGTGTTTTGCTGATCAAATGAAAAACACCCTTTTCTTATCAAATTTAAAGAGGACTGAGGCGATCATTTAGTGTACAGTTTATGAGCTAATCGCAAAAGTTTTAGGGGGGCTGAGTAGAAATATAGGGGGGCTACAGCTCCCCTAAATAGGCCTAGCAATGCCTATGGGAAATGCTGTTTGGCACTGGTAACAATATAGCAACAAATTCATATTTATCTATCAACCCCTTGTAAATACCCACAATTTTCAGCAGCACGTGGTGTCTCTCTATGCGGCCATATTCCCTGCGTTCTACATCTCAAATAACAAACTCACAAAAGCTTTGTGAACGTTTACTTTTACTTACACATGCTTATTCCGAATATATGTGAAAGACACTTGTCAAATGTATTTCAGAAAGCAGGAGTGATGTTCAGCTGTGTCCTCTTTATCATCTTCTGTCTGATTCAGGCTCAAACTGATATGGCTAACAACTACTCTGACTGACAGTATTTACACAGCACAAAAGTGCATGCTTGTAGGTCCGTGATGCTTTTCTAGGTGATGTGGAGCCAATCCATGACAGCACGTTATGTTAGCTGACCAATCAGAGCCTTTTCAGTGCGGGCCTTTCAGAGGAACTAGGAAATATGACAGTCGTTTTCATTAGCTGAGTAGCTGCATATAATCAAATTAAGATATATGAACATTTTCTACAAATGAAGCATGAGCACACATTGCTTTGCATCTTATAAACACAACCAAGCCTTAAAAAAATACACTTCACCTTTTTGGACCACCCCTTTAAGGGTGTACTCACACTAGGCAAGATTGCCTTGAACTGAGCCCTGATGCGATTGCCTCCTCTCACCCCAGCCCGACAGCTCACACTCACACTGCATTTTTACTTTCCTAACAATTTTAACTTGCGTCATCAATGATGTGACTGTTCAGCAGAAAGAGCAGCGCTTTCGCTCAGCACAACAGAGATTGCTTTAGTCATATTGTTTTGCATTATTTTAATAAGTTTGGGACACAGTAGTTTAGTAGTTTGGGAGACACATGGACAAATCTTTTGCTGAACAGATCCACTGATTTTGACGCTGTGTGACCTTTTAGACCTGTATTTGTAGGGGGAGCAAATTGTATCCTTTAATGTTTTTGTATCAAAAATTTGCTTTAAATGTATTTTTTTTTTTGTCTAACTGGCCTAAAAACATTTCTTTAAATAAATGTCACATTATGGTTAGCCTACATCATTCCTACTGAATTCTGTTATTTATACTTTTTGTCAGCTTGTTATCTTTCATTAAGGATGGGTTTTGTGTATATATTTTGTTCATGTTATAGTCTTAAAAGTATATTAAAAAAATAAAAATGCCAAGGAGCAAGGAGCAAATGTAAAATGAACCAGGATATGGGGGTCAAACGTGCACAGGCACATTTTGGATAGCCTACTGCAAATACTCCCTAACTTCATGAACAGCAAGGGTTGCTGCACATTTTTTACAATCAAATCGAAGACTTTATTAGACCCTATAAATTGAAATGAATCCTCTACATTAGGCAATATCGACAAAACAAAGCATTTATTATTATTTAAATTATTCATTATTTTATTAAATACATGGTGTCTCAGCTATTAGTTTAGCCTATAGCATAGCTATTTCTGATAAAAAAAGGAAAACTTTATATCTAAAGAGTGAAGAAAAAAGCTTTACAGGGATAGATTCTGTTAAATAGGTTTATGGACATGGATCTAACAGAGCTATTTCATAAGACATTTAAACGTGGCATAGAATTTCTTTCATCATACCACCAACAAACTGTACACGGTATATTGTGAGAAAGTTCACCTCTGTTTTACACTCTTGTGACATAAACACTCAGTCTAAACTCACTGAATGATTAAGGTTTTTGATCAAGTTCGGGGACAAATCAACGTTGCTCCACTAAGCAATCACAGCAGAATGTGCGCACACAATATTAGGACTTCCCTGCACTATTCAGACGCATATACTGATGAATGATAACTTGGACTGTATCTAAATAAAAACTGAAATAACGCAGATAATAAGATTATTTTTAAATATGTAATTCATCACGCCTAAAATAGTTCAAGTATTGAGCAGCCATGACAGAGGTGTCTACCTCATCAATCTTGATACATCAAAGACGACAAATCAGAATGCATCCATTGACATACGTAGCATACTATTACTATTATTATTATGTTTACAAAATTCTTAAAGTATCAAATGGTGTGTTCAACAAGTGCTAAATGTTGAGGTCATGTGACTGCAGTGTTACCGTAGTGTGGGCTCCAGATGCCACGTGTTGCAGAGGAACTCTCTCCAGTCCACTGTGGTGTAGTTCACTCCTTCTTCTTTCTCTCTCTCCTCCTTCTTGTCAGATGATGGCTCATCCTGCTGCGTTGTTGGGCTCTTCTGGCCAGGCCGAGATGCAAACATGCGCGGTGCAAAGAGTGCTGCGACAAAAACACACACTTCACTAAAGTAGGACTGTTTCTATTACACAATTAAACACAAACTATTGTGATATTTTCTAAGGGTCACAAAAATTATTTATGATGAATGAGTTTATTTTAAAGCAATAGTTCACCCAAAAAATGGAAATTTACTACTCAACCTCAAGTGCTTCTAAACCTTTATGAGCTCTGTTGAACACAAAAGAAGGTATTCTGAAGAAAGCTAAAAAAAAAAACCCTGTAACCGTTGACTTTCATAGTGTTAAAAACAAATACTAATGCCCTGTTCTTATAGGCCATCGGCGTCAACACATGACGGAGGGTGTTTCTGAAGCTTATAATGACGTAATCGTCATAGTGACGACAGCCAATCACATCTATTACTAAGCTTTTCTTCCATTTTTAAATGTCGTTATTCTCTGGCACTGTACGGACATGACTGGCTAGCCTCTGCACTACTATTTGCACAATATTTTTGCAGCAAGGCAACACGACTCAACAAACTCACAATTTAGTTTGACAATGATTGACATCACTCCATTCAAAGTCACTGGGAAGCGTTAACACTGACTAGAGCCCTGCATTTGAGCCAGAGCCAGACGTGGCTTAACTACTTTATGCCCCTCGGGCCAGGCTTCGGGCCAATTTTTTCATCATAGCTAGCATGCATATTGGGTTGGGTTGCATTAGAAAAAAACTTTGATTGCGTGCGGTCCGGAAGCGCCGGTGAAATTGCCTATGGCGAACTAAAGGAAGGACAAAATTCTGGTCAACTTCTTAAATAGTGACAACTTTAAGCCGACTGGTTATGCACAACTTGTAAGTCTACGGCCGGCTGTAGGATTTTATTCCAATTATGCACAAACCCAGCACCCCCCCGCCTCATAATTGCGTATTCTTATTTCAATCTCAAGAAACACTGATGCTTTCTGTCAAAGGCTACATTATTTAAAGGCATTCGCTAACATAATTCTTTTTTCTTTTTAATATTAATATAGTTTCTTTGAAATCTGTATTAAAAGCACATTAGCAACAAGGAGAAATCAGGCGCTCAAGACGTAATCTTTAAAATTATTACATATTAAAGCAATTTTACTCAAAAAAATAAAAAAATAAAATTCATATATTTGTCTTGGAAAATATATATTTTTAAACAAATGTGGTATAGTTTGCCTCTTAGTTTTCATATACATTTTTGAAGGTCAGTAATCTAGATAAAATAGAAGAACAAATAACATTTGAGGTGAAGTAAAGCCAAAAAAATTGATTAGCTGGCGGACAAGGGCCGAGCTACAGCCTGTGCGTCTCAGGCCAGGGCTGAGCTAGGGCTTTTATTTAGGGCCCATGCAGGGCTCTAACGCTGACATCAAACAAGGTATAAAGAAGTCAAATGGTGAGTCAACCAACTATGATATTGAGTGTTTATTCTGTAATGACATACCACTTTCTCTGCTACTGCACTAATGTGATAGGTTAGTGTCTGCAATAGCATTTACATAAAATAATTTGATTGAATGACGCCCCGGTTGAATGTTTTTTGAAAGTTTTTAAACTTCTGCAATGAGCAATAGAGGCAACGCAACTTCTAAAGGTCAGTGGGAAGCGTTAACTCCCAAATCCCACCGTAAACAGGGGCTAAGGAAATCAACGCTTACAGATTGACAGCTTTCTTCAAAATAACTTTTGTGTTCAACAGAAGAAAGAAAGTCAAACAGGTTTGAAACAAGTGAAGGATGAGTAAATGATGACAGAATGTTCAGTTTTGGGTGAACTATCCCTTTAAGGCACAGTTCTTGCTATTACCAAATCATTAACTAGACTTTTAGCTCAATAAACTTTTAATTTGCTGCTTATTAATGACAAGGTAAAAGTTGGGTTTAGCTATTGTGTAGGATTAGGAATGTAGAACAAGAGAATACTTTATGAATATCAATAAATAGACAATATTTTAATAATAGGCAGGTAATAACCAAAAAGCCATAAGTTAATGGTACTTAAACTAAAGTGTTACCAATGTATTGTGAATGACAATTCTATTAACAAGTGTCATGCAATTAAATGTGATTAATATGATTTATGATTTGAACAATTAAAGACTTAAGTAAATAAAGCCAGAACATATTCAATTAAATTCATCTTAATTTCTACAGCGCTTTTACAACATAGATTGTGTCAAAGCAGCTTCAAATAGAGGTTCTAGTAAATTCAAATTGAAACTGTGTGAGTGCAGTCCTAAAGACTCATCTTGTAAAACATTTCCACTTGATCAAAATACACTTTTCCCATCAGTGAAAGTTTTCTCTTCTCTGGAAAATACTTTGGCTTTAAGGTTTTCCATGTAGACTGTAAGATTTGCCATGGCTTGTCAAAGCCCCTCTCATTTACGTCTGCCCTGCCTCTAAGTATTGGTAAATGATGGCATTTCTCTGCTGCTTGGAATCTTAATATTGAAATTTATACAGCCTTTAATCAGTTTAATAAGCAACTTTTGGTGCAAACATTTGAAGGAGTGGACTTTCTGTATAGTTTAACATGTATCCTTAAATATTTAATAATAACTAAATCTCTGCAGTGATTTTTATCATGAAATAAAGTTAATCATTACCTAATAATCATCTCAGCAACCTTTTCTATGAGTAAAACTGGAATAGGATGCTCTTTGTGCACTATTTTCTGTTTGCCAAGTCTTTCTGTTCTTAGGATCTTTAAGACAGGTCAAGAGGTCATTGGGAACTCTCATGTCAAGTAAAGATGAGATAACATGGTACATTGTTGATTTTACTTTTTGTTAAAGAGTTCATTGTTATAAATTATTCCGTTGTAAGAGGAACTTTATCTGTGTTAGATAGACATAAATTGTTCTTCTATTTCTGAGGTGTCTCCAAAAATACCTAATTTTAGCTCTGGTGACAGATCAATCCTGTATACTTCAGATAAAATTAAAAACGTTCTGCCAAAATGAACTAATTTTATGACATGACCAGAATGAGCGAGTCAATGTACCTTTAAAGTTTTTGCATTTAATGCACAATAAAGATACATTTAGGAAACTCTTATGTAATTTTACTTTTGAATAATGAAGTCTGTGGATAACTTTAAATTGAATCAGTCTGTGTCTTGTATCAATATAGAACAATCATGCATTTTTGAAAAATAATCTTCCCATGACTCATCTGATATCTCTGTATTGAGCTCCTTCCCCCACTCTTCCCTAATTTTATCAGTGTTTGAATTAATCTGATTTAATAATAAGCAATAAAAAAGAGACAGTACCTTTTTCTATTGGGTTGTGTTTTGTTATATTTTCAAGTGTCTGGTGTTTGGTTATATTTTCAAAACCAGGATTTTTTTTCCTAGTAAAATCTCTTATTTGTAAATATCTAAAATCTCAGATCATATTTAACTGACTAAATGAGCCAAATTTATTATCAACATATACATATCTTATTTATTATTATTTTTTATATTATTATTATTATTTTTATTATTAATGATAATAGTAATAAAAGTAATGACTGGAGTAATAATTTTTATGTAAATACAAACAATAAGAAAGCACTTATTTAACATTTTAATAAATATTTAACAATTCAACAAATTTTTTTTACATTCAATAAACGCCGCTTTGATGAACAGAATCATTTTCAAAAAAAAAAAAAAAAAGAAAAGAAAAAACATGAAAAAAAGAAACTGACCCCAAACGTTTGACCGGTATAGTGTGTGTGTTTTCTTCATCTGAAAATACTAAAAGATTGAATTTCACCTCTCTGGTTATCCTGACCACAGAAATATTATGTCTGATCTTTGTTTGCTTGTTTCCCAAGTAATCATTGAGATTTTGCTAAGTTTACACACATGCTGAGATTATCTAAGTTTATCTATGTTTCCACCAACCAGAATCTTTCTACCTAAGATGTGTCACGTAGTCAGGGACGTTATGTTAGAGTATAATTGTTGTTGATTTTTGGATTTTAGACAGAGCGGCCTACGAACACAAGGTGTATGGTTGGGCACTGTCAACCAATTTGGCATCGTACGATGTCTAATGTAAAACATTGCGATGGACTATAGTACCTCCTTTGTAGGAGCTGGTGAATTAATTATTTATGAATAATTAATGAACTCATAACAATAATTATCTGTAGCTACCTGACCCGCATGGTCTTCGTTTTAACCCTAAACGAAATCATTAATGAATAAAAGTTTGTCAATCACTTTTTCCGCATCCTTGATAAACTGTCCGACGTGCACTGCTCTCTGGGGTTTTGTGCTCAAAGCACCCGCTGACTGCCTGGAGCTCAGATGTCCGCATATGCTAAAGTGCATGACAGAGTGAGTGTGTGCAAGTGTGTGGTCACGTAATGTGCGTTTTCAGTGATATAGTGTGAAATTAGGGCTTTTCAGAAACGTTAGATGAAACGCCAGTTTTCGTTCTAAAATACTGGCTCAGCATTGTGATGTCTATCGCGATGGACGATGGCATTGTCTATCAACCCAACCCTAACAAGATACGCCCCTAATCACAAACTTATGCACTATTCTACATCATTTTGTAATATAAACTGTGCAAGAAGTGCGTTTACACTGAAAACTCTAACAAGAATAGGTGCACTTTAATTACATAGAAGATGCACTTATTGAACTGCTAAAATCAACAGCTGATGCTTTGCTCATGTAGCAGAAGGGGCAGAGCTATCGGCTCTGATGTTGAAATTCTTTATTTATTTTTGGATTGTGAAGGCAAAATTCTCCTACAAGAGTGATTATAGCACCTCCTGATGGTGAACGCAGTTATAATCACGGCAGGTATTATTTGATTGTTTGGTCATTTATTTTACTAATTTGGCAATCGTCAAATGTCATCTGCGAAACGGTTTACATTTCTGCTAAGTAAAAAAACATTGGTGTTCCATATAGGATTACACTACATTCATATGCTACTCTGTTGATTGCGTAAATGCATAAGTGCATAGTGTATAATGTGCCATTTGGGACGCAGCTACAGTGTGAGAAGCTGGTTTCTGCTCATGGAACTGCAAACTACTGTATCTTGATTGATTGAATCTCTGACTCTAGGTCTGTTTTCTCTTAACACATGTTTAAAAATGATCAAACTACTTTTTATGTATGCCATGTGACCTATAAATGAAAAAAAGTTTTCCATTGTGGATTGGCAAAATATTAATTTTTCAGACTGCATGAAAAGCTGTCTCATGATATTTTTTTTTTGCAATATATGAGCAATACATGCTTCCATTGGGCACAATTCAATTCACAATTTATCTTCTCAATTGTAACATGTCTAGTGTTACTGATACTGAAAATGGAGTGAACCTTGACGTGATCATCTCACCTTTCTCTTTTTCCTTCAGGTACGCCGACACCAGGTCATGCAGGAACATAATGAGCTCTGCATCCATGGTGACGCAGATGTGATCGGTGAACTCGGTCACCACACTGCACTCCACTTTGGGTTTGCTGTTGGCATCTGCAACAGGGTCAGTGAATTCACAGCACTCAGTGTCACAATGCAAAGGTCAGAGCATCTAGCAACATTAACAGACTATGAAAATGGGTCAGTTTGTACCACTGAGCGAAGGTTCCTCTGGGTCTTGTACATGGATGGACTTGAACTGGAGCTGCATTTTGGGAAGGGCGAAGATGGTCTCGGTTTCGTGGTTGTAGCTGGAAGAGCCCCTGAAGCCGCTCAGAAGGCTGGAGCTCTTTGCTGCTGCGCCGCTCTCAGAGTTGTTTGCATCCACATTACGCAGCAAATTCAGCTCTGACACAGAAAAGCAGAGGGTTATTTCAAGACAAATTGGCAACCCTTCCTTTCACATAAAAAAAGACAAGATTTTTGTCTTCATATAATGCTGTATTCCCGGCTGGGAAATCACACGTGACGTGAGCTGCTGACTGTGAGCTGTTACCACAGAGAGGGCAGACGCGCGCGTCTACTTTACTTTAGCGCGTCTACTTTACTTTAGAGCGTCTTCTTTAGTCACGTGCAAAGTATGAACAGCACTTAGCAGTGAAAATGAAACCGAAAGCGTGCACATCATTTAAATAATCATATCGCATTTTAGAGTTAGGATTGCGACAAGCATTTGATATGCTTTTTCTTTCATAGCGAACACACAGTTGTGCATGAAAGTAAATGTTTACAGTGTCAGTATAACTACTCTAGTCTACATAATGTTGATTTTACCAGTGAATAAAATGGTCTAATAATGTTGTCAATGACAGATTGCAAGCATGGGCCTATATCTTAAATGTAATTCAACATCAGAATTATTATAAGTAGAATAGAATTATTTATAGAAACCAGTAGACCTAAACATAATATTACTATTGTTGCTTTACCATACGTTTGAGAAAAAACAAGAACAATTGCCGATTCATTTTAAGCTTTGTTTTACATCTACAGAATCGAGAGAAAACCGTGATCTTTATTTTAAGCAAAAAAAAATAAAAAAAATTGCGATTCTCATTTTAGCCAGAATCGTGCAGCTCTAAACCTATTATTCTTTCGTCATCTTCATCTTCTTAGACTATTTTAAGAATGCATCTCCTCCTAGACTGTTCATACTACAATCACCAAACTAACTCTAAACCTCCAAAACATACTGAATTAAGTTGCTAAATCTTTTCCAACTGATCTGAATTACAGTTTTGCCAAAACTGACCCAGAAAGATTAGAAAAATCCCATTGACTCAACATTAGGCCAAACTTTCTGACCTAACTTTGCACCAGACTGTCATACAAACTTTAGGTTATGCTCATTTAACTCAGACTACCAATCACTGACGACCTTTCAACTTATTAGCCACATCCTAGCAACCACTTACGGCACCCTAGCAACTGTCCCAAAGACTTCCATTAAACAAAATTGCTATTGACTTTACATTGGACATACTAACAACATCCCAATACATACTAGAGACATACAAATCATACTAGCAACATGCTAATTCATCCTATAAACATACTAGCAACACGCTAATTCAAAGTAGAATCATGCTAATTTATATTAGCAACTGCCTAGAAACTACTCAAATCAACTTTAATACATGATTCATTCAATAATACATTCAAAGTTAGATAAAAAAAAAAAAGATTTAATGCCAATTATATATAATATGTAACCCTGGAAGTCTTACGTTGTATTTGTATATTTGTAGGAATAGCCCAAGATACATTGTATGGGTCAAAATGTCAAATTTTTGTTTTGGGCCAAAATCACTAGAACATTAAGTAAAGATCATGCTTCATAAAGACATTTAGAAATGTCCTACTGTAAATATATCAATTCGATTTATTTTTGGCCTTTTTGCCTTTATTAGATAGGACAGGAATGAAACAGAAAAGTAAAGTTGGAGACAGAGAGGGCGCTAGGGTTATAATAATAATAATAATTCCTCACATTTATATAGCGCTTTTCTGGGCACTCAAAGCTTTACACAATGGGGGAGGTCTCCTTATCCACCACCAGTGTGCAGCATCCACCTGGATGACGAGACGGCAGCCATTTTGCGCGAGACCGCACACCACACACCAGCTGATTGGTGGAGAGGAGACAGTGATGAAGCCAATTGGAATATGGGGATGGTTAGGAGGCCATGATGGACTGAGGCCAGTGGGCAGATTTGGCCAGGATGCCGGGGTTAAATCCCTACTCTTTTTCGAAGGACATCCTGGGATGAGGTTTAACGTCTCATCTGAAAGACTATACTGGGGCATTAGGACCCACACAGACCGCAGGTTGGGTGCCCCCTGCTGGCCTCACTAACACCACTTCCGGCAGCAACCTAGTTTTCCCATGTGGTCTCCCATCCAGGTACTGACCGGGCGCAGCCCTGCTTAGCTTCAGTGGGCGACCATGTGAGAGTTGCAGAGAGCTAGCTGCCGGTAAGGTTGGAAAATGTCCTCGAGCCGGGAAACGAACTCGGGACACCCTGACGTGCTACTGCATCATATGTTGGCATGCTAAACACTAGGCTATTGAGCCAACCAAAACATCATTGTTGATTAGTAATAGAGATTAAGCACTTCAGTTAAACAACTTTAGGCGATTTTCTCAGTATTTCGATTTTTTTGAGCCCTCAGTTTCCAGATATTCAAAAAGTTAAAAAATATATTCTTATAACAACAAACCATACATCAATGCAAAACTTATTTATTTAGATCCAACCCAAAGCAGAGGAAGTTTATTCATTTTTAGCACATATCAACCAGCTACTGTTGCTACAAATGTTGACCAGTTAGTAGTGCTCAATAATTTACAATTTTATCATGTGTAGCGCTTATATCAATATATAAAATTCTTTTTATTAAAACATCATGGCTATCATCAATACCAATATACTACTACACCCCTAGGTGAGGAGCACTGTTTGCAGAATTACCAAGTCACTACTGAGGCTCAATTCCCATAGCAGGCTGCTGTCTATGGAGGCAACAAACAGCAGAGCAGCTTACTTCATTTTAGAACAGAGCAACTAAAGGTGTAACACTTACCTTCGTTCCTCATGGCAGTGACATAGTTGAACCACTCTTTGACCGTAGCCACTCCATGCGGGGGGTTTTCATGCCGACGGCGGGTGACCTTAGTGATGGTCGCCATGGGGCTCTCCAGAGCACCGCAAGGCTTGGTGACCATGGTATTATGCCCAAGGTGAAAGTCCAGGGTTTGAACTATATATGTAGAATCATCACTGCAGCCTAGAGGAAAAAAATATATATAATTGTTAAGTCACAAAAGCAATGTTTCCATCTAAAGATGCAAATTAAATTTATGCTCAAAACTGCAATATCGCCTAAAAGTTGTGCGAATAAAGCAGCGTTTACATCGAATGAGTCAAAGAGAACAAAATTGTCACTTTTTGATTAACTGGTGCCAAACATCAAAAGTAAACATGGAATTTGCTGAGGTAGAAGAATCTGCGTCAATCTTTTCTTTATTTAATAAATTACTTTCACCTCAGAAGACAATGCCAACACACAATGAACACGTGGTGGTGTTTGAAGGCATCAGACACAGAGCACAGATGCTCTTGACAGTTCTGGAGGTCATTCATAATATAATAGCACTAATACTGAAACAGTTAAGGCATTTTAGAATGACCAAAAAAAACATTTCAGATGTTTTACAATGTGCTCAGCCTGCTGGTCTGCTGCTGCTACATTTTTATCATCACATGATGTCTTATGACAAAATCACATCATTTTTTTAAATGCGGATATTGGAATCTGTTCAGTAAACAGGGTACCCCCGGGATCCTCCAAAATAAATTCAAGGCTTTTAAAGACCCTTTTAATACCATTTCAAGTGAAATTCAATGCCAACTTCGAACCCATTCCAACAGAAGTATGAAGGAAAAATGTCAGATCTGTATAAATTTTGAACCCTAGAAAATAATTATTTTCTAGAGTTCAAAAGAAACCCTAGAAGGAAGGGGATCTTTAATTTCAATTATCTTGGGATCTTTTATTTCAATAAAATATCTTTTATTTCAAGGGAATGATAAAACAGCAGCACTGCATCTGTACCATCCTCCCAAATCTTCTGTGCTTCAGTCCAGAAGGCGATGTTGGGCTCTTCCAGATGGAACAACACCCAGGACTTGGAGCGAAAGTTGGGTCCGTGGAAGCAAGCCAGAGTCATGTGGTTTCCATGTAGACTCATAGAGCCACCCAGCTGCACGGCATCCTCCGGGAGAGGCATCTGGAAGAGGGAAATGTGGCATCCGGCCACCATCTTCAACACATTGGGCCAGTGCCTGTGATGAGCAGCATCCATATCTGAGAGAAAAACAAACATTCATGTTTATTTAAATACAAATGTAAAAGCTATAGTTTGAGTATAGTAAAAAATTTAGTTTATTTCCATTTTCACTTTAAGTAGCAGCAAAATAGTAAACCGTAGGCGGGCGCAGCCATTTGAAACTTTTTGGCTCAAAATTTCCGGTCTCATTCACTTCTATTTATTTTTAAATGTTACAAAACAGCTCGTTATGCTGCTTGATGTTACAAACTTATATTTTCTTATTATATTAGTGTGGTTTCACACCTAGACTTTTGTTTTGGAACCTGTCTAGTTTGCCCAGTAAGCGCAGTTCCTTTGGCATATGTTAATCCACCTATCGCGCTTGTATCCGCGCTATAACGGTAGATCCGAGATCGCTTGAATGAGGTGGTCTCGGCTCAATTAAAACGAACTCTGGAGCGGATAGATTGTAGTGAAAAAGCGATACGATCCAAGCCTGGCTATATATCACAGTGTTTTATGGATATGTAATAGGCATACGGCTATATGAAGAGAGAATTATGAGTAGGGCGGAAGGGCATTCCAGACATCCCAAGTCTCCCGGAAGTTTCGGGAGTCTCCCGCAAATGCACAGAGACTCCTGGATGCCCGCAAACGAGTGATAATCTCCCAGAAATTGCGTGTCTCCCTCTCGGTCCTCAAATTCATCGCGCACCCTTCTCACCCCTACCCACCGCACCCCTCCTCGCTCCTCAGACACATCGCGCGCACCTTGTCAAACTCCACCAAACCAACACCCCTACTTACAGTTGAGCAGGAGGCTGCAAAATAAACCGTGAAACTCTGACCAATGTGAGGAGAGTTTCCTCACATGTGACTTGTTTTAGCTCTTTTGGCCCGTTTAGAAACTTTGCCGTGTGAAAGCGAACCCCACCAAGAGCAAAAAGCAACAGTGTAACAATTTTAATCCCTATTTCGAAACAACTAAATCGATAGAAAGGTGTGAAAGCACCTTAATTCTACTTGGTATGTATAGTCATGCAAACACTTGTTTGTAGAGCAAGTAGTTTGTTTTCTGCCAATTATGATTCCTAGTCATTTCTCCCATAGGCGACTGAATCTGAAGTTCTAAAACAATCGCAAAAACGAGTGCACTTCTGCATTGAACAATAAGGTCAATACAAGCACTGAGACACAGCATGAGGTCTGCGCTGTTTTATTAGTTCTGTTCCTGCAGAGTTTTATTCCCCACTTCTGGTCCCGCTATTAATTTACTTTTTATTTATTTCATTTTTATATATTTATTTGACTTTTTTTGTTTTGCTTTTTTATTTCACTTGAATTTAAATGGATTATATTTCTATTTCTAAAGATGTTCGGTGAATAAAATATTAAATATATCTGTTTATTATTATTGTTTTGTTCAACTGCACTAAAGTATATTATCTATACTGAAAAATGGATAAAAATATTCATTTTCAAAATGGAATGTTCTTATTTATGCTGAGCACTGTATATACATCTCTGTTAAATAAGTAATTTCAAATAAGCCATTTCAATTTGTATTGGCTTATAAGGTCTGAGCAGTATAGGTCTTCTGTATGTTATTTATAACAAAATTCTAACTGAAATGATTTCTTTTTTTACTATAAACAAATTTACTCCTATAACTACTTGTGTTTTTTCACTCATATTATGGTAAAACACTTTCTGAAACCTAAAGCTTGAATTATGCTTTCTCTTTATAAAGAACTCGTCTTTTTCAATCATGTTTGACATGGATTACATTCTAAAATGTTTTAAAGTTGCTCAGCTTTGTTAATAAAAATAGAGTGCTGTTTAATTAGATTGGTTTTTGAGTTTTGCTTTGGTACCAAAATTGGTTCCAAGAACTGAGTATTTTCATTTTCATTTTGTATTGGTACCAAAAACTGAAATTTTGGTACTGTAACAACCCTAGAACACAACGTTCCGGCATACACCACTTCTATTAACTAAATGCGTCAAGCACACACGTATGGTCCGGTGCAGCCTTCGCACGGTCACATACCCTTTGCTGTGGCTGACGGCGCACCTCTCAAAAAAATGTAACTACACTTCACAACGATGCGTAGCGCAAGCTCTGTGATTGGTCGGCGTGGTGGCTGGGATTGTGTGGGTGGTGCTGTGAGCCATGAGCCCAATGGAGTCCTGTGAAGCAGCTCCAGATGGAAACTTTTGATTTGTATTAAGCTTATGATTAAAGTTGTTGCACATCTGAGTTTTAGCTACTTGTACATGAAGGTAGTTTTCAGAAAAAACAAAACACCCATAAAGAAACTCGACACATTGAACATAAAAACCTTCTGCCAGCTAGTATTTCAGTGTTGTTGCAGAGCAAGACAATCAGCATGTAGAAACATAAATGCAAAACTATGCACAAGGCATGCACCAAGGGTCACGTCGATCACTAGACGCAGAACTATAAAAGTTCTGAAAAAAAAAAGTGTCTGAAGTTGGGGCTGATGCGATCATCATAGCAGAGTCAGCCAATGAAATTATTCCACAATCGGCTACTGTCTGAGCTGGTGTATTTGAATAAAGCAATCAGATAGGCTGAGGCGTCCGTTGGCGTTTGAAAAGTTTAGAAATTCCCATTTTCTGCAGTGAGCAACGCAGCTGAAGCGGTGCCAACAGATCCACAATGCATTTTGGCAAAGCCTGATGTCACCCATTCAAAGTGAAAAGAAAGCATTAATGTTGACGCCCAGTGGTCTGTTACGAATTGTACTGTACTATACCGCTCAGTGGAAACAAGACCCTATACACAAAACTGGACTTTGGTCATAAGTGCACTTACAGAGTTCAGCAGATGCCTTGTCTGTGTTGATGACTGGTGTTTTGGGAGGCATGTAGGGCACCGGGCCCCAGGTGGACAGGGCTCGCTTGCTGGTGTCAAACTGCTGTGTGAAGAACTCCTGCAGCTTCATGCCGATCTTTATCAGGTCAGGAGTGGTGGAGCGAGAGATGATCACCTGGAAAATGTCCCACTGCAGGTCCCCGTGCACAAAGATCTCACTGCGGATCAGAGAATGTGTGTTAAAGTTATGGTTAGGTTACCTTTATGTGATTATTGGGGATTTCTGACTTACCTTTTCTCAGATAGACTGGCCTCGGCTGTGCATAGATTCACCTTCCACTCATCCTGGAGCTGCAGGTCAGCGTTACTGAAGATGCCCATCAATATGCTGGAGCCCATGTAGTCCAGACGTGCCTCTGTGGAGCCCATGGTGATCTGGATCTTATGACTGGGCTGCTGGTTTGGATGTTCTGAAATGTGAGCTAGAAGAACAGTAATCAGTCAGTGATGAGAAAGACCAAACACAGTCTTATAATAGAATAAAAAAATGAATGATAAAATTTCACTTAAATGAAATGGGTGACACAATGTCAGATCTTTTCTAAAATATAAGGATGTACGTTTAAGTGTAATGGATAGTGCACTGTAAAACATGGCTTTCACACAATTCTTTCACATTGTCCTAACACAAATCGATTAAATTAACTTCATCGTTTTTTTTTTATTTAAGTGGATTGAACAAAAAACAATTAAGTTGTTCCAAAAAAAAAAAAGCTTAAGAATTGTTTTGTCATCATTTTAAATAAGTAGCTTGAAAAAGTAGCAAATATCCTTTTTTTGAGTGTGGAAAATAGGTGAGACAGGGGATGTTGCTCAATATGCGTTCTTCAGCGGTCTTGCATCCTTGTGTTCTCGTGCAACATCATCATCAGCTGCCTAAGTTCAGTTCCAATACTCAAGACCGCAAGAACAGAGGACGCGTGAAACTTCCCGGATGTGATCTTGATATCGAGGACGCACTGATGCAGACTTGAGCACCGAACTCGCTCTGGAAGTCCCAGAAGTCATTGCGACTGGAGGTGTGAAGCGCAGCATTTAATCTAGATTTATTATTAAAGTTCAGAGATTTAACTAATGTACCTTAGGAGTTTCCCTAAATGAAACTGAAAGTAAACATTAACATGAATATCTTAATAAAGGAATAAACACATTAAGGGTGTTTGTTTGCTGAAATTCGTATTAAAATGTGTTTTATTTATATTGTGCAGAGTATATTTATAATGTTTTTATGCAATGTATATATTTTGAAGAGGGGAAAAACAATAAATCGTTGTATGAGTGCTGTAATCCTAAAATAGTTTACCATTTAAAACGTGTGAAGGTCACGTGACCATCAGGAAGAACGCAGCATCCCATTTCTCAAAGGATGCGTTCTCTGCCCTTGCGGTCTCCTGAGTTCGTTCTTACCAGGACACCTGGCAAGACCGATCTCCACAAGGACGCAAGTCCGTTCTTTGCGTTCTTGGAATTAAGAAACAGCCACGGTCTTGGTTAACCCATCAGTTCTTAAGTGGCTGGAGGCGAACTGGGTTTAAGTTGACTAAGGTGTGTAAATTAAAATATGTTATGCACCCTTGCTGTTCATTTATGTGGCAACAGCATTTTGAGTGAAGCTGCATGATAGTGGGAAAATCTGGCATTGTGATTTATATAATTTTTCCGACATATATTTTGTGATATGAATACAATTTCAGCAGATGACATGAACTGCTCTATTAGGAAGCAAATCATTAATTTAGATTGATTGGGGTAATTTTGTAGTGGAGTGAATCAAACAAATAGCAAGATTAATAAATAATCAATATAAGATAAAAGTGAAGTAAGCTGTGTTTTACGGTTTTCTGTAGAGTCAAACAGTAATCAGATATTTAAGTACAGCAATTGAACAATCATATGTAATGCAAAATGTAAAATAACACTGCACAGTGCAACGGTGGTCACACACACACACACACACACACACACACACACACACACACACACACACACACACACACACACACACACACACACACACACACAAAAAAAAAAAATTTAAAATAAATAAATAAATAAATAAATAAATAAATAAATAAAATGTACATCTATATTAGTTACCCAATAGTATTATATGTTTGGACAAAAAAAAAAATACTACTCAGGTAAGGTTCGAACTCGGGTCAGCGGCATCGTAACGCAACACGCTGACCACTGGAACACAATGGCGCTGTTTCGCCGGTGCGTTTGGTGATATCTCCCTCTAACGCCATCAACCCAAGCAACTTGCAGTGGTGGTTTCAAGAGGTTACACATCAGCAGTTCACTGGCTGGCAGTTGACTTAGCAGTACGAACAGGAGAAGTGACAGATAGGCAGCCGTTTTCAGAGTGGTCCAAACACACAGACACCGGTAACTTTGAAACACGATGATATGAAAAGACGCACACGTCAGCAATTGCCAGGTAACTTGTAGTACGGTGGCTATAGAAGGCAGTATAAACGTGAGCATCACCCGCATCTTTTCCTCAGCTTCCTCAGACAAACACCCAGGCAGAAACACACCTGCAGCTTGATTGCTGATCAACTAGATTCCCAACTCAACCTTGCAGATACTGTGATGTGACAATTGCAAATTTGATATTGATTCTGAAACAATATACTGTGCAGTAGAGCTGCACGGTTCAGGCTAAAATGAGAATCGCAATTTTTTGCCTAAAATAAAGATCACGATTTTCTCACGATTCTGTAGATGTAACATAAAGGTTAATATGAGTTGGCTATTATTGTTATTCTCAAACATGTGTTAAAACAGCAATAGGCTTTGTGTAGCTGTACTGCTGGTTATAATGCTAAATTTTGTATAGACTTGGAATGGTGGACTAAGATTTGTCCTGGGGTTTTTTGATTTAGATTTCTTAGATTTGATTTAGAACATACTTTAGATTTGTTCTGGTCATTAATGCTGATGATAATTCTGATGTTGAATTATTGTGTTTGAGGCATATGCTTACAATCTGCAATTTTCTGCTTAAAATCTGTCACTGATGTGATTTTCGTGGATACAGAAGACTGGGTGGGTATTTTTGCATTTTGGTGGGTTTTGGATACATTATGGACTGGAATCAGTCAGCTTCATCTGGCAACACTGTGTGCTCTTTCCGTTTCATTTTCACTGCTTAGAGCGGTTTACTTCCCGCGTGTCTCCCAAACGATTACTCTGTGCCACCAACTGATGTTATTTACAACTTTATTACCTGTTATTCACAGTATATGCTGTTCTGTTCACTAAAGTAGACTTCATTCAGAGGTGCGCCCGCCCTCACTGTGGTAACAGCTGACGGTAAGCTCACGTCACATGTGATTACATGAAGACAGAAATTACATTTTTGAGGTGAATTATATCTTATAAATACAGCATGCGACTCTTTTAACACCATTTGAAGGTGTCCACATTGCTGAACAACGTATGTAAAACAATGTGAAGACTTCTGCGGCTACCATTGCTTCTCTCCTGAAGTTGAAAATATGATTGACAGAATCGTAGAGATGCTGGATTAAGATCGTCTAGAGGGTCGAATTGAGATTGCGGTCTTTTTTTGATTAATTGTGCAGCTCTACTGTGCAACCTTAATTTTGGGGGCCTACAAATGCAAATATTTGAAAACCACTTCAATTCGTTTTTTTGAAAACAATATCAATATAATCTAAACTACCAAAACAAACATGCATGTGTGTGTATTGCATGATCAGTCTACAGGCATGCACGATGATTTGAAAACGAAAACCGTTTTGTGCACAGGTTATTTTTGGTTGTTTTTGCAGATTTGTTTTTGTCTATGTAGATCTACTGTATATGCAAAACTATTCAAAAACGTAAAAAAAAAACATTTGTTATTACATTCACTAATAATTATAGCATTTAAAAATGCAAAACAATCTGTAAAAATCAAATGTTTCACTAGAATATTGTTTAATGCCATTAATTTATTGATGTGCACTACCCATGAAGATTATAATGTACATAGATTTACCAACATAAATTGAGCAAATTGTACCTAAATTATTTAAATTATTATTTAAACATGAGAATAAAATAAACTAAAATATCTTATTGTTTTTTTGCCACAATGTATGAACGATTAAACCGATGTAAACCCATTTTAATTTTCATTCTACCTGCCAAAATATTGACTTTTATAAGCAATCAAACAATGTGATGGGCATTTTATGGTAGTGAATGCCAAAGATAAAATGTTTTTAATTAGTTAAACCACATAACAATTAGAAAATTAGATGTATAATAGAAGATATAATAATGATGCTGGGCCACAAAATGTGCATCTATGAAATCATACTTACAGACCATCTCCAGCGTGTTGACATCAATGTTTCCACCCACCACTCCTCCTTTGGAGTCCAGTTTGGAGCGTCCCAGTCCAATAGACATGCTGATCTCACGGTCTCTGTTGCTGCCCACTGACAGACGGCCCTGACTCTTCAGCCCACTCGTTGTCCAACTGTTGAAACACACGCATGTGCAACAGTTAGTCATCATACTGAGCCATGTTAACCAGATGCAGGTATCAAAGCATATTAGCTGCTCGCTCGCTCATACGTATTATTGCCCATGACGTTGCTCATGTTCATCTGCACATTAAGCTGTTTCAGGTTGATGGCGAACACCACCAGCGTCTCCCATGGTGAACCCTGCTGCGCTGCTGCTTTTCCGTTCCGGAACGACGGGGTAGAGGTCTTGGTAACAGAGTCTGCAGGAGGCATATGCAACTGATTTAATACGCTTGCTCATTTGATGTTACGAAAACTCTAACAGATGCCAGTGAACAACAAATGGTATTAATATACACCAACGGTTAGCTAAAATCATATCATAATCTTGATCATAATGTTAATGTTCATGCCTAATCTGGTCAAACATGGTCAGGCATTGATTCAGATTTCTGGCATGCAGCAGAGACTTTAGTGAACAAAAACAATTACTGAAATTACTGTGTCTGAAAAGTTATTTAATTACTCAATAATTAGTCTAATCACTTGACTCGATAATACGAAAATATCTAGTTGTCCGCCTTGCTTACACATTGCTTAATACACACAGGGTGTACAGCAATACGCAAATATCTTCACAAATAAAAAAGAATTAAAGGATTCAAATATTACAAAAATTATTATTTTTAGCCTACAGAAATATAAAAACCCAACTTTCATGCCTTCTTCATCTTGTGGGGGTTTTTCAGTTCATTCATAACAATTTGCTTTTGTATAATGTTATTATTATTAGCAGTATTATTTATTATATGCATATTAATATTTGTTTTATTAAAAACAAGCTTAGATTTGTCCACCTGTCATGTTTTGGACCATATGGGGCACAGCATGTGTATTTGGATATAACTACTTGGATATGCACTTAACAAACAAAAATAATTATGTATAGGCTAATGGATGTCTGTGTGTACAACATGTTTCCCTATCCACGAGAGTGAAAGTGAAAGTAAAGAATGAGCAGGCTCATTCTCGTGCTGCAGATGGTCTGTTTAACTGTTTTCTCGCTAGAGAAGTGTTCAGTTTTTCCACTTACAAAGTCTGCCATGTAAATAGCAAATGCGCTATGGCGAGACGCAACTGAATCTTAAAGGGAATGGGAGATGAGACACTGATTGGTTTATTCTCAAAATACACCTATAACTCATTAAGAAAATAAGCTCAACCCTGTTAGACCATGCGCCACGGCGCAAAACGCATTTTTCCATTCTTAAAATAGCAAAAGTGGAAACTGACACACCCTTAATGCTTTTGTGGCCTGCGCTTTGGACTTGGATCGTCAAAATAGAGCCCAAAGTTTTCTGAGAGACTAACTGAATCATTTATTGAAAATGAAACAAAAAATAAATATGAGTACAAATTATAACCTTAGATTTCTACATTTAGCGTTATCAGCAACAGTAGGAGTAACAGTGAACTTTTTTACAGTACTGAATATTTTACAATTTATTTTTATTCAGCTGATTATTTCCTCATTTTATTTTTAATAAAATTACAGCTTCTAAGTTCTGTTTGTTAAAACCAAAAGTTTAGAAAGCAAATGACATTTGTAACCTCCACTTATTGGCTGATCCGAAAAATGGTTTGATACAAGACAAAAAAAAAAAAAAAAAAAACGTGATCTGAACCATGACATTTGTGATCCGTTACATCACTAGTAACTCATCATGACACCCAACTTTACAAGCGGATATGCACATTTAGTAGCGTCAGAAATCAGTGTGTCAACGTGTACCTCTACGTGGTGCGGAGGAGTCGGATACACTGCGGGTTCGTCCGGTGGCGGGTGATTTAAGGTGTGAGTGGCTTGGTGTGGTGTCAGTGAAGACAGAAGAGGAAGGGTGTTGAGTGGTCTGACCGTCCCACGTCCTCCAGTATGCTTTTCGGCTAGATTCAGGGGAAAGGTGCTGAGCGATGCTCTCTACAGAGTCTGGTGTAGCAGGACCTGAGGCTACACACACATAGGATATAGCTCACCGTGTAGCACAGACCAAGAAAGTGCACACAATAGCAGAAGAGCAAATAACTGGTGATTATGATAAAAATGGTTATGATTATTTTACTTTAATTTGCTGGTTTTATCTGTTCAGCAGGATCAATGTTCATGTTTTATTAACAGTTCAGTTTAGTAAATGGTAACTGAGCTTTTCCTTACCCTAACCACTGTTTAGAAGTATTCGACATTTTTACTTTGTAATATTTCTATAATTTGATACGTTTTGAATGACAGCTATAAAGTATTGTTTATTTGTAAGTCTTGGTGAATTTCTTATAATTTATTTGTCGCTACTTGTGTATGTTAACAAATAAATACAAATGAATTATAATTCCTAAAATTAGATTATAGTTCCTAGAAATTATGGTCGCTGCTTGATGACCATGTAAAAATGTGGGAACCACTGCTTTAGACTGATTTTTACGTGATGGACTACAGGCCTACTTTAAATATTCAATTAGAATCAAAACCAGAAAGAGCTGTATTGCCAAGTGTAATAATTACACACACAAAGACTTGGAGACAAAAGCTTCTAGTACAGCAAGTACAAACATAGTGCAGACGTAAAGACAATAATAACAATAGTATTTAAAAAAGGAAAAAATAGCTAAAAATAAAATGTCCATAAACAGAATTGTAAATGTTCCAATGTGCTATTTATGGAATCACAGAATTAAAACAAATCATTTACTGGGATTTTTATTTTTATGTGAACTGTCACTTTTAATGCATGAATGCCTCATAAAGATTCATAAATTATAATATATATATATATATATATATATATATATATATATATATATATATATATATTTTTTTTTTTTTTTTTTTTTTTTTTTGCTTATTGTCCCCTTCTTTCTAAACAACAGTGCATAAAATACCCTTCATTTCTCAAAGCAGAACAGACTGATAAAATGTTTGGTCATACTTTATTTTAATGGTCCAATTGTTGAATTTAAGTTACATTGCAACTAATTCTCATTAGATTAGAAGTAGAGAGCTAGGTTGGTATTAGTGTAAGTTGACGTATTTGCAAATCAAGTATTAACAGATATAAAGCAGACATTCTATTAATACTCAAATGGACCATCAAAATAAAGTTATATATTTAATAATAATTATATTTCAATAATTTTTTTTTTTTTGGGTTGCTCCTGATACAAAAAAAATGGACTCGATTGTGATTTCCACAATTCTGCGTTACAAAAAGAAGGATTTTAAAATATGTAATGATAATATTCTAAATATGAAATACAGCACATTAGGTCAACTAACACATTAACCTTGTTAAAAAATAAACTTCCTGTGATTTACAACACAACACAACACAACACTTCCCTGACAAATTAAACAGTAATTTTCACTGTTACAGTGTATGGTGAGGTTGCTATTAGGCATCTTCTGGATCCAAAAACAAAAGAAGCAGCAGCAGAAAAAACGTGATGGAGAAATTGTTTATACACCTGAGCCAGCATGATCATTAAACAATCAACAGGACATAAGTGAAAACTGTCTAACGTGACAGAATCAAATGTCAAACTGCACATTTTGAGGGTATAAAGAGGTAAATGCTACACTTATGAACAGAAGAATCCATGTTTTTCAATTATGAGAGTATACATGTATTACCTGGTAAGTTGATTGTCTGGTCTCCCAGAAACAACCTCCGGGCTATGCTTCTGCGGTACCAAGCTCGCGGGAATGCAAGAATCTCACTCAGACGCCTCATGTCATATTTGAAAGATGCAGAACCAATATCACAGACGGCTACACAAAAGATAAAGGCATAAGATTTAGAGGCAACAAAACCATTCATCTTTTTGGGGTTTTATTATTAAACATACACTACATTTTAAAAAAAGGTTTGGAACTGGTAATGAATAAAGTATAAAAAAATTATCTTTTGCTTTAATTAGTATCTTACTACTATTCATTCATTCATTTTCATAACTTGTTCCCTTTATTAATCTGGGGTTGCCACAGCGCAATGGACCACCAACTTATCCAGCATATGTTTTACACAGTGGATGAACCTTCCAGCTGCAACCCATCCTTGGGAAACATCCATACACACTCATTCACACACATACACTACAGCCTACCCAATTCACCTATAGCACGTTTTTGGACTTGTGGGGGAAACCGGAGCACCCGGAGGAAACCCACACCAACACGAGGAGAACATGCAAACTACACAGAAAGGTCAACTGACCCAGCAAAGGCTCGAACAGCGACCTTCTTGCTTTGAGGCAATTGAAAAATATTTCAATATTCTGATATAATAATATTAATAAACATTTATAATTAATGCTGAAAGCAGTTGTCCCGATTAATATTTCTGTGATATACTTTACGTTCTATGATGAAAAGAATGTAATAAGTAATATAATATCAAAAATAGTAAGAATATTTTTTAATAATAACGGTTTTGTTTAAATGTAAAAGTCTTTAATGTCACTTTAATACTGATGCATACTTGCAAAAAAAACTATTAATTTTCTTTTTTTTAATCATCAATAATTAATTATTTGTTTTTAAATCATACCTTTATTGCACACCAGGCATTTGAAAGAACATTTAAATGTATAACCAGGGTTTCTGCAGGTTTCGTCAAGTCAAATTTAAGACATTAAAATTTTAAGACCATTATGAATGAAATTTCAGACTTCTACAAGGCTAGACGCTTTTTGTCCTCATCAAAAAGGTTTTAATTAATTCTTTCTTTTTTTTAAAGAAATGTTTTAATTAGTTTTTTCTTGATAAAACATACAATACAAATATATAACATGTATACAAGTTCTTCACAATTTATAAATTAGTTTGTTTATAATTTGTCAATTTAGAAAAAAATAAAAAAATTCAACAACCAGTAACAAAAGTATAATAATACTAAAAATAACAGTACAGAGCATAACAGGATAGATCTATTCATATTTCAAGTGAGAAAATGAAAATCTCACATATGTCTGTTTCCTTGTAATCGTCATTCATTTTGGCCAACATTTTCTTTTACGATACATTCTCAATCATGGATTCCATCCATAATTTAAGTGTAGGGCATTGAATATCTTTCCAAAACCTCAGTATTATACATGCTGCTGTAGTAATGCCTATAGTTATAAGGGTGAACTCATTATTTGTAATATGTGGAACCTCAGTTTTGCCACCTAAAAGGCAAATCCAGGGTGTACGAGGACTATTAAATCCCTGACATCTACCAAGTTGTCTTAATACAGACTCCTAAAAGGGTAATTACTTATTTCATAGCCACATACTTAAAATAATGTGTCAAGTAAACCCTAGCTGTATAAATACACATTTATTCAATACAACTTTTCTTTAAATAAAATTTGACAAGCTTTAAAAACTACAATACACAATGTATAATAGTCTGTCCAGGTTTGTGTCCTCACCACAAATGGGCTATAAATACATGGAGAACTTTTAAACAACTGTTTTTGTAAGGAAGATAATTAAATGATATTAGTAAATATAGTTTTAAAGAGTTTCAATCAATTGATTTTTGATGATTGGATTGGTGTCGCCTCAATTTACATGGACATGGGAAAATAAAGACCCGTTTAAAATGATTTAACACCTACAAGTCAATATTTCAGTGAATTAGGGACTTTTCAAGGCCTAAAATTAGGTTTTTGAAACGTAAAAAATGTAAATACATTTAAGAAAACCCTCATAACTTTCGAGAAAAAGACAAGGTAAGGTTACAATACTGAAAAACACCCCAGAACTTCGTTTTGAATATCTTACCTGAAATATTGATTAATGTTGTGTCCATTTTTCCACCCTTGCTGGCAATGAAAGTATCAATAAATGCTGGACATCCTGTGCGTCTCATCCTGGAAAGACTGACTTTAACAAACTCCAAGTTGATGGAGAGAGAGTCTTTCCTGCCCGTCACTGAAGAGGCCTCGTCCTCAACTGATCCTTAAAAAAATAAACAGTCATCTCATCTTTTAAAGTTTTTTAAAATACAATGCATTTTTATTTCCTCGAAAGCAGCAATGTCTCTGCATAGGGCTCTTACCCAGTGGTCCTGGCCCAGGTGGGAGGCCAGTTACTGCAGACTTCTGTTTGCCAGCTCCGTATGGATGAAATACATAGAGTGAGAAATCTGACATGCATGCGGTGAAACTCAGGCCTGACGAGTTAATGGGTGGGCCGGTGAGATCTGATTGGCTGCTATGGTGACGACTCCGCCCTAGAGGACTGCCTAACCCTGTGGAAGGTCCTGAGGAATGGAAGAAATAACCATTGACCAGTCAAAATAATGTACACTGAAACAAGCACTAAGGACCAAAGGTTTAGATCACACATAAGTACACATTTTTTAAGGTAGAATTCAAGTTCTGCTTTAGACATTCTGCTGATTACAAGTGGCAACAGCATGATAACTAGCATGCCTGGGTAATATCTGTTAACACTTCCCCAACATTCAGCTCACTGTTTCTTTACAAGTATCTTACCTTGCTCTACTTTCTCTATTCATATCATAATAGTTTAGTTAGGAAGTTAATTAAAAACGACAGATTTAAATGTACATAGTGTAAACCAGGGCTAAGGCCTGCCTTTGATTTGGCCCACTATCCCATTTGAGAAGAGAGAAATAACGGTTGGGGTGAATATCTTTGACAGAGATCATCATTTGCAATTTAATCTAACCTTTTGTTAGTTTGTTTTGTATTTTCTTCAGTTTTGTAAATGAATCTTATTTTTTTAAATGTGAATACTGTCACTGGACAGATAGGGGGCAATGCACAAGACTTAGCCGGCAAAGACAGGTGCACGCTTAAGTGTATTACGCATTGAACTTCATTGTGTTAATGGGATCGTTTAAGGTTATACTGTAATAAGTTGATAAAATCAATAGTGCATTAGGTAATTTAAAGCAATGCTTTGTAGTTATTTTTTAAATATTAGGAAATATTTAGGAAATACTCATGGAAAATAATACAGCTTGATTTATTTACCTTCAGCCCACAGCCCTCAATCAAGTAAGGTTTTTGGCCCTTTGTTGTTGGGTTTCAAATAAAAAGAAACTTACAGATAATTTACTTATTACATAATGGCTGTAAAATGACATTTTTGGCTAGAGGAAACCCTCTTTGTTTGTTTGTGTCTCCTTGCATGCAAATGAGCTTCTACCCATTTTACCAAAAGAGGGTGGAACCTTTACAACTTGTGCCTTAGTAACTCATGGTAAGACCGAACAAAACATCAGCATGCTTGTTAGTTTAAACTACTGAAACATGGTTTTGTGAATGCACATATACAAAACGCAAAACACTTAAAAGGGTGGTCCAGAATGTAATTTTAAGACTTGGTTGTGTTTATGAGATGCAAAGCAATGTGGGCTCATGTTTCACTTGAAGGAAATTGTGTTAGATTTTCATATATCTCACTTTGATTATACACAGCTACTCAGCTAACTTGAGAACGACTGATATATTTCCTAGTTCCTCTGAAAGGCCCGCCCTTAAGTGACTCTGATTGGTCATCGTCATAATGTACTGCTATTCGCGGATCGGCTCCACGTCACGCCCGTAAAAGCATGTGCTTTTCTACTGTGTAAACAATCAGTCAACCTCCTGCCTGCTCACTAAAATAAAATCTGACAAGTGTCTGTTACGAGTGAAAATGGGGTGCGGCTCCTTTAAGAGAGTTTGCCATTGTGTGTGCATCTATGTGTGTGGTGTGTGTGTGTGAATGTTGTCTGCATCTATGTGTGTGTGTGTGTGTGTGAATGTATAAACTTTTTGTAACAAGCGCATGTGCACGGGAATTTCTTTTTCTTTTTCTCTGATGCTCGGATTAAGTTATTTTCTGTAATATATCGTGACAAAAGAATAAAGCTCAAGATGTGGAATGCGACCTGTGTGAGCCTTGATTTATTTTTCTGCTGCTACCACAAGTCAGGTGAGCTATCCTGTATTTTTTTTTTTAACTCTATGCGTTACACAACGTCTTTCACATGTATCCGGAATATGCAGGTGTAAGTAATATGAATTATCCACATATCTTTTGCGACTTCATTATCTAATATGTTAAAAGCATGGAAAAGCTGCCTGAAGACAATCAATGCAGTCGTGCGCGCACACACATAATAGACACGAACATGCTGGTGGAGTGTGTGTGTTTACAGCAGTTTGACTGATAAATATGAATTTGTAGCTAAATCGTTTGCGGTGCAAAGCAGCATTTTGCATTGTTTACATCGTTGCTACAGCATACCGTTAACGCTAGACACTGTACATGTACATGATCAATTTAAACAAATAAAAACACTTACAGGTTGTAGTTCACAGCTTCTGCTTTGAGGAGATTTTAGCCGAATCCAGCTCTGAACTGGAAGAGATTCTGGAAGCTGTTTTGTCAAATCATGATTGCTGTGTATTTTATAATTCTCTGGAACATAATTAATATTGAACTGTAGGCACTTCTGTCTTTGTGTCGTGTCCTTTGGAAGCCCAAATACAGAAACAGACGAAGCTCTGTGGAAACTTCAGTGTTTGGACGCATTTTTAGCTTAATCTCTGCTATAACATTATAGCGCCTCTGGAAACGGCCCTAAGCTGCGATGTTTGTGTGCGTGGTAAACAAACCTTTGTGATCTCATAGGGGGCGGAAGTATTTTTTGTAGTCCCTAAAATTTGTTCATTGTAGGCTTTGCTAAGCTAACTCTGTAAAAACCAAAGTCTCTCTTTTCATAGAACTTAGAACTTTTTACATTCAGAGATGTTGTTAATGTTCAGACAGCTGCATTACACATCAACTAAAGTTTAAAATATGATATCATAGTGGACCACCCCTTCAAACTAAGATGTCGAGATTATGTCAAAAGATTTCATAATGTTGGTTATGGCTGTAGCATTGAGGTTGTATGCAAATCTCTGATTTCTCATCCTTAGTCAAAAGATCCTGCTTAATGTGTGTTTAAAGTGTCCTGTTTGGTATCGTTGCACTTCTCTTTTCAATTCATAACACATGATGCAGAATGCACAATAATAACTTACACGGCTTACATTCTTTAATACTGTGAGTTAAAGTTTTTTTCATCCCTTAAGAGTGGATCTTCATTTTGCATGAACGGCCCAAAGACAAAGAAAATCTCAAATGCTCAAACTTTGCCCTGGAACCATTGGTCAGTCAGGAGAAATCAGGTGTGACCAAAACAACGCTTTAAAATTTGACTGCAGAAGTTCCCCAAAAGGACACCTCCAGGAACGACCCTGTTTCTGTACCCGCGTGACTCACTGGAGCCTGCACTTATCTTTAATTTAGCTTAAAAGATTTGCACCTTTCTGGGTCCTCCGTTCTGCACCGCAAACGACAAAGGTCTTCTTAAGTATCTCCATCTTCCACACATAAAGGACACTCCCAAGAAGAGCAGAGAACCAATGCAGGTAGGCCTATTAAGCCAAGTTCACACTACAGGATTTTAAACATCAGCAGATCGCTGTGCCGTTCACACTACATGACTAGACTTTGTGTCTTTTAATCTCTGTGCTGTTCACACTACGCAACACTCTGTGAATGATCCACAAGAGGGGGGTCACACACTACATGATCTGACAACATCTCATTCCCCAACAGCTCATGCAAGTTACCAAACCACAGCCAATGAAATTTTGAGGGAGGAGTCGTCAGAAAAAGCTGAACACTATTGGCTGCTTGTGTGCTGATGACATCACTGACAGCATTTCAAGCTTTGGAGAAAGCATTTAAAAACATCGTCAAATCAGCTGATTTATCAGCGGATTAATCACTCATCTGCAAGTTTCGAGTGGATAGATACAGAGAGAGTTTTTAATTTTTGTAATTTTATAACTCTTTGAAATAAAACTAACATATCTATAACACCCTGCCGTTTTCTAACTATCAGTGTATTTCTTTCTGACATTGTTATTTTTTTATTACAAAACAGTAAAGAACTGAGCATTTCTGCCTTAAATTACCAAATTGGTCAAAATGACTGCAGGCATGTCTGATACTTTTCACTGTGACTTTAAATATGTGTGCATTTTCTTGCCTAGCAACTTCCTGCTAACATAAACAAAACTTTCTGATGGCAAAAACAATAATTTACTTCAGATATCTTTCAAAACAGCATATTGTGTGCTGTGAAATAGCTCCTGTTTGAAAGTGAAAATGAAAGCCAAGACCTTTAAGTGTTTTAGTATCTTAACTACATATTTATAGGCTGTATTACCAAAAAAAGATTATATTTTTAGGGTAATGGTGTCATTAAATATGATGCCTGACATTCAAAGCTTAATTTTAATATCTCAATAATAGCTTTGAATGTAAATATGTTGTGACAATATGGCGTTTTATATGAGAACGGTCAGAATGAGCAGTATGGTTATTCTAATAGTTACAGAATTCTAGTTCCACTGTTAATATAGCCTACTCTCATGTCTGTGCTTACGCAGAACGAAGCGAGTGCGTTGAAGCCCATTCTGACCAATCACAGATGTTTCTGCTGAGCTCCTGAGCACACAGGCATTCAGCTCATGCTGATATGCTCTCTCATTGGCTGCAGCTCGTCACTACATCTGACCACATGTGGGGTTGAGTCAACCGACTGCTCTGGAATATTCAGCATGCTGAATGTTGGATTTCCCTCTGCGAGGTGTCGGCGACGCGTCAGCGAGCCTCGTTGATGTGTTGTTCGGTAGTTCACACATAAAAAACAGCGAGCGCCGTGCACCCGCAGATTTCTTCCCGATCACAGCCTGATCTGTCGGCGAGCTCGTTAACTTCCAAATCGGGCTCAAATCAGGCTTAAAATCCTCTAGTGTGAACTAGGCATTAGTTATGCACTTTAAGCTGTGCCCCTTTTAAGGTGTTTCTGAGTCATGGGGGGAACTTGTTGAATTTTGCCATTCTTTACCTCTATATTTATCTTGCTTTTCTGTGTTTTTTATGCATGGTACATTTTGTTCGTTATGTGCTCGATTGTCTTTGTTTTGCTTCACAGAAACAGTCACTTTAATGATAAAAGATCCCTTGCTACCAGCTTAATTATAATTGTTTTAAACTTCTAAAACTAATTATCTACTCCACAAGAAGTATAATTTCCATTTTAAATAAATAAACAAATAAAGAGTCTGCTCAGCCAAGCAGACAAAGTCATTGTTATATTTATTTAGTTAAATTAACTTTAAGTTAATTCTGAATATTCATAATTAACAATAACTTGTTATAATTAATCATTAATATTCATCAAATCGAGCTAATTTTGTTATATGGCTGTGAATATAAACAGTAAATCACAAGCGTATCAGTATATTAAATAGCACCTATCAAAAAAAAAAAAAAACTAGTAAAACCAAACAGGCCTCGTCCCCTTAAATGGGTAATTATTGAAATTCAGAATACTGTATGAGTTCCCAGATTAAAACTCAGGCCTCCTATCATGACACCTGAGGGAGTTGGTGCTTATGGTGCAGAGGAGAGCTCTTACTAGAGTGGACTAAATTCATACCTTTACCTCCAGGCACTCTGTTGGCATTGTGTACTGATGGAGGTGTGGAGGAAGGTGTGTGCTGGCCCTCAGATGGATAGGTGGCACTGGTGGGCTCCAGCTCTCCCCTATTGGACGAGAAGACCAAGTCCAGAGAGGGAAGCTTCAGCATGCACTCCACTCGAGACATGGGCAGACAGCTGAAGCGGATCTGAGACGGCTGAGAAACAAACACAATGAAATCAACTTTCAACTATGAGATAAAGGTTAGGGAGTATTGCTCGGAGAAACGCTGGCATACCTGCACCCTGACATAAACTACAACATCCACAGGGAAGGAGGAGTACGGAGATGTAGCTGAAGACACTAGAGACACCTGAGACTCCTCAAGAGGCTCCACAGAGTCAAAGTGGCCCACATCTTCTTCATGAACATTGAGTGCTGCACAAACACATGCACACACATATATAGATTAACTATTTCCCTGCCTTTGACAAGATATATCAATATCATTAAGATATAACAGACAAGGCTTCCTTGCAGGTCAATAAGTTTCTATGGCAATCTGTGTTTTAGGTTCAGTATGGTAAGGGGTGCCTTAGCAATTATCCTGAATGAGTTATGGTTCTTTAGGGTCTCCTGGGTGTAATATATCAGAGAAAGTGTAGATCAGAACAGTTCTTCATCTTAAACACTACTTTACACCATTTTTACACACACAAGCACACAACATGCAATAATATGTGTTAGTGTATGAATGTGTGTGTCATATATAATTTATCTCTAAAATGCAGTAAATCTGGCTTAAATATACAGTAGCGGCCAACTTTATTTATTAAAAGCACTTCTAGAAACCAGAAAGAAAGCTGTAACTCGAAAGTGGCTACAACTCGAGAACCCCTACAAAATCTGAATAGTTTGAATGTTCAAAATATGGAGAGGATGACTTTTTTTATTAAAACTACGAATGGACAAATATCTGCAATATTGTGAGAAATTAATTGTAACTATGCCTTTAATTGTTGAAACTGATGTTTTTAACAATTTGTGACTTGTAAGGACATAAAATGCTCAACATATGCAAGTACACCCGTCACAAATCTATCTTTAAAACTCATATTTTAATAGGAAGCTATAAAATATTATATTTGTAAGATACATTAGATTAGTCAGTACTGAAGCCAAATCTGGAGCTTATCTAACAAAATAACTTACGATAACGGTCCAAAAACTAGCACACTCAAATTTATATGTTATAGAAAATATTAAATACAAATTAAAAAAAAAAAAGAAAAATAAAGAATTTTTTTTTTTTTTTTTTGGAAAAATTTAGGTGAAATTTCCTAGGTTGTAATTTGCTTGAATTTAATTGTATTATTTTTCAATTTGCAAATATGTTTGGTGACTGAAATATTATTTTAGTAAATATATCTGTTTAATAAATCAGTTTTGTTTAAATGCACCAAAATACATTGCCTATATTCACGGAGAAATGGATTAAACATTAATTTTCAAAATAGGGTGTACTCAATTATGCTGAGCACTGTATTTGACCAGTTAACTGTTTATGTATATTCTGATGTTAATGTATTGGTTTCTTTTTTAAAACATGCTTCAGTGCTAAACACACATAAACTTGACTTGGGTGGGCCGCCCAGGAATCTTAACAACTGACCAAGTATATTTGGGGATATTTTTTTTTCACAACTATCATCCTTTTACACTTTTTTATATTTTTAATTTTTTAAAAATATTTTTTAACAGTGGAAAATTGTCTCTTGTTTACCCGTTTCATAGGCTACTGCTGGTTCTGTGTGCTCAAGAACTGTCAACACTCCCACAGACAGCAACGTGCTCTACAGACCCACAGACACATGCCTTTTTTGCACTTAAATCTTCAGCCGAGGTTTCTAAATCTTCTAATGTCTATTTGATTACGAAAGTTGCCTTGTATGCGTTTTTTTTAAGCTAACTGTGTACACAGCTGTGAGAGCAATGGAAACATTAAATAATCAATTCTTTAATAAACTACTCAGAAAAACTGAGTCACACACATACATACAAGGGGACGTAATAATAATAATATATTATATTAATATAATAATAATATATTGTTCAGAGATTTTGTCTGTTTGTATTCCTTTTATTTCTGTTATTCATTTCTCGTTTGCTGTATATTTTATTAATTTGATGATTAATGTTGTTAATATATTACATAGCCTATTTTGTACATATCTAAAATGCTTTGGCAATACTGTACAAAATGTCATGCCAATAAAGCAACCTGAACTTTTATTAACTTTTACAGTTAGAAAAGTATTTTGTTCATCAAGGTGCCATTTATTAAATGTAAAAAATATAGCTTTTATTACTATTACCATTAATAATAATAATAATAATGATAATAATTAATATTAGAGTAATTTTTGTAGGGGACTCTGAAGACTCTGGAGTAATGAAGCTGAAAAACCATCATTAAAACCACTGGAAAAAAAGATTAAATGAAATGATAAACTACTTTTGAACAGTTATTTTATAGTGCAATAACATTTTACAATTTTATATTTTTTTATGTATTTTTGATGAATTAAAGGCAGCCTTGGTGAGCAGGAGAAGCTTATTTTAAAACATTTAAAAATCCTACTGACCCCAAACTTTTGACCAGTAGTGTATATCTAGCAGAAAACGCTCTGAGGGTCATCAAATTAAAGTGAAAAATCGACAAAAAATAGCAGACTACCAAAAAAAAAAAATAAATAAACACGCTGGTGGGGAAAGAGTTAAAGAGTTAATATCAGCATATAGAGTGCACACCAACATGTCACAAAAATTTCATACTTTCTATTTTAACACAAAGTGAAATCTGCAACCGCACTGACTTGTGTAGTTCCTGTCGACCGGTGTGATGGGAATGGTTTCCAGTGCTTTCTCCAGGAAGTCCAGCAGACATGGGCTGATGACCATTTCCTCTGGCAGCGTTTGCAGGGCTACCCATGCATACAGCTTAGCCGTCTTCACCCCTACACCTGCCTTCCCTTTAGCTGCACACACAAACATAACATTGAGAACAATTAATCTTCGCTGCTAATTTATACTGTTCTAAAAAAATTCAGAAGATGCAAATTTTTTTTTTACCACCAAATGCAGCTAAAACACCCCAAAATTGTTTAAAACAAGCTTAAACTGAAATTAAATGTTGTAAAACAATTGAAAAAGCGCAATCTGTAGAAAGCAGAGTCCAGAAATGATAACACACACAAATCAATCTGAATTTTTTGTTTCAATGAAGAAAAAAATAGTCAGAGCAATATAAGTAAATGAAAGAAAAATATATTTATAAAGACATTGGTTTCTGTTTTAAATTTATTTTTGATCAAATAAACGTCACCTCTATTATTATAAAAATCACAAATCTGTCCTACTCCAAACATTTGTGAAGTACTGTAAACAATATTGCTTTTTTGTGTCTAGTTTTACCTGACATCAGCAACGTAAAAAAAAAAAAATAAAAAAAAAAATCAACCCAACCAAACTAATGCCAATAATAAATAAAAACGAAAGCTTGTCTCAAAGCAAGCCATAAAAACCCAGCAGAAAAAGAAATTCTTGCAGAGGCAGCACCAATCCTAGATAATCATGCTCTACAGTGGAGCACAGAGAAGAGTCTGAGCGCATGCAGCAAGCCAGCGGCAGCTACGACAGACGACGAGAGAGTGTGTGTGTACCTGAAGGGAGAGGAGGGGGAGGAGGGGAGAGGAGTGTGTTTGTCTTGCCAGGGCCTGAGGCTGCTGGTGCTGGTGCAGGTGTTGGTGCGTCTCTCATACCATACAGCTTGGACTCTTTGGAGAGCGTTCTGGGAAGCGAGGATCCGCGAGAGGCATTGGGCGACTCCGTCTTCAGTGTTTTAGAGTTGTAGTGTAGCTGTAAATGAACAGAAAGTGGGTGTTGTTTCAGATGTTAAAAAGTTCCTTAATGGTGCTACTATTTTTATTGTGGATCTTTGTAACCAATCAGGTATGCCATTTGCATGAATTCAAGTGTAAATGAGAGAAATGAACATTCTGTTATTAACTACTCATCATCAAGTCATTTGAACCTTTGTTCATCTTCTGAATATAAATTAAAATACAAATAAGGTATTTTAGATGAAATCCAGGAGCTCTCTGATCCTCCATATACAGCAACACTCCCAAGATGGTAACCGTACAGAAAAGGAACCAAAACATTGTCAAAACATTTGATGCGTCTTTAGTGGTTCAACTGTAATCTTAAAAAGCTCCAAGAACATTTATATGTGTGCCAAAAAAGCTTTGTTTGCCAATGTTTTCCTCATCAGGTCAGAGTTTGCGTTTACTATAGGCAATACAATCCTTGTTGTACTGCTGATTCCAACGGTAAATACTTCATACTGCTGGCGGTAAACACACACCTTGATCTGAGGTGGAAGAGGAGACTGAGGCAAACAAAGTATTTTATCTCAGCTTTTTTTTGATGCGCAGATACATTCATAGAGCTTTGTATGATTGCAGTTGAACCGTTAAAGTCACATGTAATATTAAACAAACTGTGGGTTCCTTTTCTAGACATCCCAGATGGAAGTGTGACAATAACCAAATCACAGCATCTGTCTTTTCTTCAAGGGTTTCTTGAGGTAATGAAATAAATTTCCCGCACAAGATAGAGGGACAGTCCATTAAATATAGTATCTTATTATTATTATTATTATTATTATTATCTATAAAGGGTCAGAGAGCTCTTGGATTTCATCTAAAAACTTTAATTTGTATTCAGAAGACTACATAAGCTCTCTGGGGACTAAAACAATAACAGAATGTTATTTTTTTTGTTTGAAATACAATTTAAAGGGTTCATGAACTGAAATATCAAAATTCCCCTTTATTATCTTGTGATATAAAAACCAATTGTACTATTAAACATACTGTTAGTTCCAGAACTTTCTTGTTAGTCTGAAAATAGCTTACATAACAGACAATGTGCCAAATCAACAATCTGTGAATATGCCAATCTAAACTCCAATTCCACAAAAGATCAACGCACATTTCTACACTACCGTAACACCCACTAATTTACCTATATAATGTAGTTATATGATAAAGATCAACTGAAGACAGGGAGACACTCATCAGAGCCAAGTTGTGGAAAACAAATCGCCTTCACCATGACCCCAACATCAGGAATTTGTGGATGAACTTTATTTTTATTCAATTTATAAAATTATAATCATTTTAGTTTCAGACGTGTCAGTCCTTTGTTCACTTACTAATTTTTTTCCACAAACAAGTCATGATTTGAAGCTGGATTTTCAGAAAAACTGAAACTAAAAGACAATGTTATGTCCACCATATTGGATTCAACAATAATGTCGCACCACACGAGTGTGAGTAACTGTTTTTATGATGTGTTCACATTTGCTTTGTCTGTTAGCAAATTGTTTGAAATGCAAGTTTTATGTGATGGCAAACCAAAATTATTAATGATTTCATTTACCTTGGTCCCTTATTTATCAAAGTTTGCCACTGTAGAAGGGCGAGGAAGTGGCGCAGTAGGTAGTGCTGTCGCCTCACAGCAAGAAGGTCGCTGGTTCGAACCTCGGCTCAGTTGGTGTTTCTGTGTGGAGTTTGCATGTTCTCCCTGCCTTCGCGTGGGTTTCGTCTGGGTGCTCCGGTTTCCCCCACAGTCCAAAGACATGTGGTACAGGTGAATTGGGTAGGCTAAGTTGTCCGTAGTGTATGAGTGTGTGTGTGTGTGAATGTGTGTGTGAATGTTTCCCAGAGATGGGTTTTAGCTGGAAGGGCATCCGCTGCATAAAAACTTGCTGGATAAGTTGGCGGTTCATTCCGCTGTGGCGACCCCGGATTAATAAAGGGACTAAGCCGACAAGAAAATGAATGAATGAATGCCACAGTGGAATGAACCAGCAACTATTCCAACATAGGTTTTAAGCAGCGGACGCCCTTCCAGCCACAACCTAGTACTGAGAAACACCCATAAACTCTCACATTCACTATGGCATATTTTTGTTTACCCAATTCACTTATAGTGCATGTTTTTGACAGTGGAAACCAGAAACCCACGTCAACACGAAGAGAACATGCAAACTCCCCATAGAAATGCCAACGGGCCCAGGCGGGAGTCGAACCAGCGTCCTTCTTGCTGTAAGACAACAGTGCTAACCACTGAGCCACCGTGTCGCCCCAAACCAAAATCAGTTCTGATATAATTATTTGACAATCAAAAATGAAATCTCAGAGTGTGGTATGAATTTTATTGTGTGCACCCAGCTTTACTTTAGGCACCGGAAAATACACATATTTATGTGAAGAGGAGGTGCACCTTAACATCCACCCCAGGGATGTAGAAGACGGTGGTCTCGATGTCGCTGCTCTTGCTCTGCAGAGAGGTGGGCACTCGCTTGGCACTCAGCAGATGAGAGCTGGAGGGAAAACTGGGCTGCACCTTTCGCTTCTTAGGAGGAGAATCCTGATCCAGACTTCTCGAGCTCCGCTCACAACTCCTGAAGAACAAAAAAAAAAAAAACACAACAAACGGAAAAAAAAAACAGTGAGAAACATCTTTTAAATGCACAAAAAACACTTCTGTCGAAAGCCAAACCAATAGACTGCTGCAGGGATGACATATCTTTGGAAGCCAAAAGCTACAGATGATTTAACAGTTTAGCACTTCAACATCAATTGTCTTGAAGGGTTTTTTGAACAGGCTTTTGTTAAAATGAATAAGTCAGGACTGCTGTCATCAAAACCTTAAAATATTTCAATGTTTTATTCCTGACACGCACATAGCTATCTTTTTGGGGACTTTCCACAGATGTAATGATTTTATACTGTGCAGACTGTATATTCTGTCCCCCTACCCCTAAACTTAACCCTTACAGAAAAAATATGAATGGATTTTTGGTAACGCTTTATAATAACTACACACTATGAATCATATATTAAGCATTAGCATATAGTTAATTCATCATCTGTTAAGCATTAACTCTATATTATCAGATGTTAGTAAGCAGTTGTCAGGATTCTGCCACACTGGTCTTGTTAATTCTAGACACTAGTCCTGTCACGTCTTGTGTTTTGCTCGACTTCAGTTTTCTCGAGTCGAGCACTGCTTTTGTCATTGAGTGTGTGTGTGTGTGCGTCTCTGTATGAGCGGCACTTGTGAACGAGCTTGGACCGTGCTCGTTCCCGCTTGATGCGGGCGTGTGAGGTCTGTGCGTGTTTGCAATTGTGCGCTCCCGTTCGTATGTCTGCAGCTTGGTGTTTCATTCCCAGCGTCTCAGTCTAGTTGGTTTCGGTCGGCGTTGGGATAACACATGCACGCTGTGTGTTTTGAGTGCACGTTAAGTATTTTCAGTCATCATGTACTCATGTCTCTCGTTCAGTCTTCCGTTGGCATGCTTACATGCACCGCGTGCATGTGTTGTCGTATGAACACGCTGTTAATGAGTTCTCTCATTGGCTGTGTGTTCCAGTCTCATTTTATATGAGCACATGGCTTGTGTTGTCTCTTTGTGTCATGTGCTATCCCGTCTATTGTCTAATCCCACCCTCCTTGTTAACCCATTATTAGTTAATTATGTTCATCTGTTTGTGTGTTAATTTACTTCTGCTTATATTCTCCTTATGTCTGCTGTCCTGTGCCAGTTCGTCGTCATAGGTTGCCTTCTCCTGATGTGTTCCAGTCCTGATCCCTGTCAGCCAGCCCAGTCTAGTTTGTTTTGCTTGTTTATCTGTTTTGCTAATGTTTTCCCCCTTGGGGGAGTTTGTTTTGCTGTTTTGTCTTCCATTTTATTTTATTAATAATAAAAATCCATAGTAGTCCTCACTCCTTTTTCCCTAAACCCAGACCGTGACAGAGGTTTATAACTGCAGATAGAAATGCTCTATTCTTGACTTACAAGCACATGTATACTGTGCTTAATAATTTTATTTTCATACTTTGTTAATCATTATTTTTTCATTACTAAATTAATTATTGCATCATTTACAAACCAGTTATTTAAGAAAAGTTGCAGGTTTTTAAAGATCTTTCAGAATGGGCAAGTAAATGATTATTAAACTATTAAAATTAACATTAATATATCATATATTATTCAGGCATACATTACTAGTTAATTTGTGAGGAAAAGTGAGAAATTATTTATGCTTTATAAATCCCTTATAAATAACAATAAAAGGATCAGTTATATTATAAACAGGAGAAAGAAGAAAATAAATGACTTTATTCATTTCTATTCATTTAAAGATACACAAATAAAACTGAAACAAATAAAAAAAAAATCTTTGCAATCTCAACTAAAATAAAATTACTGTTCAGTTTTAACATTGCTAAATAACATTAAAATGTTGTATCATAATATATTGTTAAATTATTAGATTGTTGTTATTTTATCCAATGTCATGTTATATTTCGACACTCCTGTTATTCTGCAATGCTTGTACAGTACTTTACAGTAATATTACTTCTTAGATAATATTGCAAGATGTGTTGTTCACTTGATACTGAGCCTTAAATTGTCATTTATTAGGGATCACACAACTGGATGAAGTTGAGTTAATAAAGCATTTAATAACATACAAATGACCTATTAGTATATACCTGAATAATAAGATATAAATAGTTTATTAATCATCTACTATCATCTTAAAAAATATATCTTAAGAACAAATGGTTTGTAAATAATGCAATACTTAATTTAGTCATGAAAAATGTATCAGTAACAAAAGAATGAAAATACAATCATTAAGCACATTTTAAATGTGCATATAAGCCAGGAATAAAGCATTTTTATCTGCAGTTATAAACTGCTTACTAACATCTGTTAATGTAGAGTTAATGCGTAACAAATAAT